GGAATATGAAGTATAGCTTAAGGGAACAAAGGAAAAAAGACAGAAAATTTAGTTGAGGGAGAAACCAGTTTTTGGAATGTTTTTCTTTTCCATAATTTTAAAATTGAGAATATTAGGTAGCTTGTGTAATTTAGAATACCCGTATAGTATTATGTTATTGAATTGGAACTTCAAAACAATGATAAAAGCAACAAATAGATTTGATAAAGTACCTGTCATTTCTAGTGGTCCTTCTTACGGTTCATATTAGGACAGTCCTTCCTTCCTTCCTTCCTTCCTTCTTTCCTTCCTTCCTTCCTTCCTTCCTTCCTTCCTTCCTTCCTTCCTTCTTTCCTTCCTTCCTTCTTTCTTTCTTCTTTCTCTCTTTCTCTTTCTTGTCTTCTTTCCTTCCTTCCCTCCCTTTCTTTCCTTTCTTTCTTTTCTTCTTTCTTTCTTTCCTTCCTTCCTTTTCTTTTCTTTCTTCCCTTCTTTTCCCTTCCCTTCCTTCCCCTTCCCCTTCCCTTCCCTTCTTTTCCTTTTCTCCTTCCTTCCTTCCTTCCTTCCTTCCTTCCTTCCTTTATGGGGGCCAGCAGGTAATGTAGAGGTTAATGCTCTATATGGATTCCATCTGGCCAACTTCGTAATTTGAGTCCCAGATCCAGTGGCTTGAGGATCATGCTGGACATGTGTGTGTGCATGCCCGAATCCCAGGAGGAGATTGGAGGAGAAGGGATTGTGGTATGGCTATCACTCCTGGGGGTGAGAGTGGTGATTTCTTACTTTCCTACTCTCTGTCTCTCTGGCAAGTACATGCACCCTATAGGGGGAAAATTAATATAGGAATTCCATGTTTTTAAAATGCCAGAAAAAAACAATCTTGTCATAATTTATATTCAGGCATAATTTTGTATGTAACTACATATAATTTAAAAAGACATCGTAAATATATAATATCCAAAAAACCTCACATTTATAAATTTTTAAAAAGAATTATTTATTTAATTTTATTTATTTATTCATTTATTTTTATGTGAACAGAGAAAGACAGACACACAGAGAGAAGGAAAGTGAGAAAGCAAGCCACCAAGTCCAGGACTTGAACTGTGGTTGGTCATGTGGGAGTGTCCAGAGCCTTAACCACCACGCCCCTGCTGGCCCCACATTTATAAATTTTGACAAGAATAACAAGAAAGATATATACTCAAAACAAACTCAAGACAGCCCTTAATTTGGTCAAAAATCTCTGTGAAGCAGGTCCAGTAGGTGGCATGGTAGCTGAGACACTGGCCTGCCAAATGGCTGACTGTGGTTTGAATCCCAGATCTGGTGGCTTGCTTTCTCACTTTACCTCTCTCTCTGTCTCTCTGGTGAATGCACATGCCCTATAGCAAATTAAAATAATAATAATAAATACAATTAAACAATTACTTTAAAAAGTCTAACTGAAGTTGAAATAAACTGTTACTGAAAAATAAGAGTTCTTATTCATAATAAGGACAATGCATTTCAGTCTTGATCCTACAGATTAGTCATCTTTTGCTCCTTGATGTCAAATGATTTTTAGAATAAGTAAGTTTTGTTACCTTTTTTCATACTCAAAAATTTGAGACATCTTAAATTTTTTTTTCTATTTTAAGCCAATTTCTTTTAAAAGCCAAAACTATGTTAGATATCTGTCCATGTATAGAAAATGATATTACAATAATGAATGGTTTCATTTATTTGACCACATTAATTCTGGAATGCCTATCTGCCATGAATCTTTCTTATGAACTTTGTGCTTTGGAAGTGTATTATATTGCCATAGGGTACATACACTAACCATAGAGAGTCAGAGAGTGGGAAACTGAGAAATTATCCCCCAAAGGGGGTTGACACACTGCAGTCCACTACCATTCTCCTCTTTAGATTTTGGGCACACGTGCATACGAACCAAGGGTGATTTTCAAACTGCCAGGCCTGGGGCTTGGCCAGGTGGGAATCCAGCGCCTTAACCCCCATGCTATTTGCTGGCTCCATCTCCCTCCCCACCCCCGCCAGGTTTATGTTTATCATTTCAAATGCAAGGTCAACACAAGGCCTGCTAATTTACAGCTTTTCTGTGGAATGCAAATGCTAAAATCCAACCACCATTTTTAAAACTCAAAGCAAGAGATATAAACTATTTCAAATATAGGAAATGATATGCCAGATGACCAAGACCACGGAGATTCAAACCAGCTACCACAGAAGTAGCGTTTTCCAGCCCTAGGTAATTACGCTTAAAAATTGTAAGAGGACTTTTTAATCTTTTCCAGCTCAAGATAAGTATGCCTGCAAATAGTTCATAGTAACTTGATGAAAGTGAGAATTTAATAAAATATTTTTACAGAGAAATTTTTGCTATAGGGCACATGCGCTTACCGGAAAGAGGGAAAGACCGACAGAAAATGAGAAATCACCCCCGCCCCCTGCCCTCCGGGGAAATGGCCATGCCACAATCTCTTCTCTTCTTGTCTCCTCTCAGGATCTTGGGAACGCACATAAATGTGTCCAGTGTGAGCTTGAAGTCCCCCCCAGGGGGGATGGCCACGCCACAGTCCCTTCTCCTCCATTCTCCTCTCGAGATCTTGGGCACGCATGCACATGTGCCTGGCATGAGTTCAAGCCTCCGGGTCCGGGACTCGAACCACGGTTGACTAGAAGGGAGTCCAGTGACATAGCCATTATGCTAACTGCTGGTCCCAATATGGATTTTTTCCATTTTGTTTCAATTCCTATGGTCTTATTAAGCACTCACTTTCACTTATTTTCTGAGTTACATAGTTACTGGCTGATATAATTAGATATCTATAAGAGGAATACAACATAGTTTGTATTCAGCTTTAGCTTTACATCGAATTGAAAAGCCACAAAGTCGTCGTTTTTTGTTGTTGAGAGTGAAAGCAAGTCTGTAAAGCAGAGTGTGCAGAGTGGACTCCTCCATGGTGGAGCAGCCCTGAGAGAGGAGTCAAGTGAACAGCTTTATTCTTTCCTCGGAGAGGAGGAAGGGCAGAACTGTTCACAGTACCCTGCAGACAGGGTAGCAGTGAACTTTGGTGAGTGGCCACTAAGTTATTGAAAAAGTAAGAGTTGGGAAAAATACAAAGAAAATGTTTAATAGACACAAAAATGAAAAGTTATCTGTTGATAATATATATGGACATGTCTTTGACATGATTAATGTGCACCATAACCATGCTGGGAAAAAGATGTACAGTGATTACATGTAAATAAAAAATAAATAAAAAGTAAGAGTTGCACTGTACCTATCAGAAGCCTTAAAAATGTAAGTAATGGGGGCAGCAGGAGGTGTGGTGGTCGAGATGCTGAACTCCTATGTGGCTGACCTCTGTTCAGCATGCATGCATGTGTGCCCAAAGTCCTGAGAGGAGAATGGAGGAGAAGAGATTGTGGTGTGGCCAGCCTCCTCTCGTTTGCTGTCTCTCTGTCTTTCCAAAGAGTGCATATGCCCTATAGCAAAACAAACAAACAAAGAAACAAAAAAATCCCTAAAGAAAAAAAAAATAAAGTAATTCCACTATGAGACTATTTCTCATACTAAAATAAACATGGATATAAACAAAGGTTTGTCTACAAGGAAGTTCACTGAAGCAGTATTTATAATGAGAAATTGGAAGCAATGTGAATACTCTGAAACAAGGGATTTACTAAATAAGTGATGGTCCAGTAATATACAGCCATCGTTCATCATGTTGGTGAACAATATGGAAATATACTGATAATGTGTCATTTCAAAAAAAGAAAAGGTTTTAACATAGTATGCTTATATTTTTCATCTCCCAAAAAGGTGTACAGTTGCTTAGAAAGTAGGCCCAGATAAATAAGGACAAAAAGGTAATGCCTGATATTCCCAGATAGTAGGATTATGAGTAATTAATTTTTTGGGGGGGCACATTTCTTAGCAGTTATTTTCTATGAACACCACACTCTTACTTTTCTTACAGCCTAGTTTACACACATAAATATATATATATATATTTTTTTTTTTTCTTTCTTTTTAGTTTGTCTCCCATACTCAAAGTAAGATGGCCCCTACAGATCTGGGAAAAATTTTGTGGGGAGAAGGGGAAGGAGTGTGACAGTGAGTGGATAATATAATGCTGAACATTAAAACCACAAGTTCCAGGGCCAGCAGGTGGTGTGGTGGTTAAGGGTGCTGGACTCCTACATGGCCAACCACAGTTTGAATCCCGGACCTGGGAGCTTGCCTTCTCACTTTCTCTCTCTCTAACTCTGTCCCTCTGTGGTCAAATTTAAAATAAATAAATAAATGATTGAATAAATATAGATCAGTAAAATAGTTCTTTAAAAAAAACATACAGTGTGTAAAAAGGGTATGGTCTGAGAAGGACATTTAGAAGAAAAATAGAGTCAAAACATTAATGGGACAACGAAATGTGGCATTATCTGTTGAAAGTATTTTATAGTTTTATCAACTGGACTAGGGAGAAATGTTCACATGTTGAAATATTCACTCTGTAGGCTAAATAATGTGATTGAATGTATAAAAGAAAATGAAATTTAAAAAATGTAAATGAAAAAACAACCCCCCCCCACACACAAGTTCCATCCCCAGAGGAGCAGACTTTAACTTTATCATTTTTGTGTATATTCATGTCTTTAAATTTTACTTTCAGACCATATTCTTTCCATTTATGAATACTTTCCTCAAACTTGAAATGCTTATTTTACTATAATAGTGGGATAACATGTACATGAAAATTATACAGGCTATTGAAAAAATGTCTGTGCTCTGTAAAACTATAGGGAGTGAAAAATAACTGTTTCTCCCCCTTACTGGGTCTCGTCATTGTTTGGCCTGGGCCGGGAGAGTGTTACCAGGGAACCAGTCTATTGGTTCCTTGTCAGCCAGACCTCACAGGTGATTTATTCTAGAGAATGCCTTCCTCGGTACCTTCTATTGCTTAGATATATGTCTCCAAAGGGCTAATTTTCTTTCCTAATATTGCCTTTTCTAGATATAAAGTTATCAGAAGGTAGTCTTCCATATCCCAAGATGGAGAACAGTACCACAACCATCTCTCGGGAGGAGCTTGAAGAACTACAAGAAGCATTTAATAAAATAGGTATGCTTGGGGAAGGGTGAACACGGGCTTCCTGTGCTGTTTGTCGTTAGACTTCAGGAATGGAGCAGTACCTTTATTTCTTCTGGCAGCACCCAGTTAACCTCCAGATTTGTTCCTTTATTATTTTTTTCTTCCTGTCTAGGTTTCACTTGATTCTTTCTTTCTTTTTTTATTTCACTTGATTCTTTCTAAAAGAAAGCTGGTTCAAATTTCGAGGTGAATTGGACTTTGAATTCTTTGATCATTTCTTTGCAGAGAATAATCCAGGTTAATGAATGACAGGGTAACTGAATACACTTAACATGGTCTCCTCATGACAGAAAAAAAAATAAAAACACTTCCTTGTGGATAAACTGAACTCTGGCCTTTCTCTCTGTGTCACTGACAGTAACACATTCTGACTTCATGCAGAATATTTTAAAAATCTTGGGTATTATTTACAAAGGCCAGATGTCTTATTCTCCTCCTTCCTCATGAATAATTTTTTAAAAATCTGAGTATTGTTTCTAAAGGCTGTATCTCCTATTTTTTCTTCTTTCACTTTTGGAAAACAGTTAGTGTTTGGTCTTTATGACATTAGCATTTTGACAGCTTTGAATTTTCCTTCCAAAAACATGTCTTCATCCTCTGTTGGCTCTCAGTTCTGCATTTTGCTCTTAGGTAAACAAAGGAAGTATAAATACAATCTTTTGCTTTAGTCCACAAATGCAATGCAAGTAGTGAAAGGTGAGCCCAGGGAAAGGTGAGTACCGTGAATAGACGTTGGGACAGTGACACCACCATCTTTGCCCTTTCTCGGGAGGCACCTCTACTGAAATAGATCACTCTGAAAACAGGGTCTGACGGTGGGCCCGGGAGGCTGTCGCGATCACCGTTGGTCTTGTGCTTGGATTTCTCACAGACCTAGCAAATCATGACTCAAATGAATGTAGGTAAAAGGCAATGCAGGGTGAGTTCGAGAGACCAATAAAAAGGAAAAAGGTGGAAGTGCAAAAAATAAACTCTCGAGGGCCAGTGGATTCTTCCACTTCCTGGGGATGGCATATTTGTCATTAGAACACTGCATGAATACGATATGATAACTGGGAAGTTATTAACAGATTTTATATGGTATCAGATGCAGTGCCCAGAATCTTTTCCAAAACAAAAACTAGGCAATTGTTGAAATGTTCTGCTCCTTTTTGAGTATCGAAACAAAGGAAGTAATAAAAAAGTGTATCTCCAAGTTTGGTGTTTCTGTTATTTTATAGGTACAGTTTGGTAACTTTAATAAAAGTGCTAGTAAAGGACCAGCACATGGTGTAATGGGCACATTGCTGGACTCTCACATAGTCGACTGCAGTTCGAATCCCTGAACTGGAGGCTTAAAGCTCATGCCAGGTGCTTCTGCATGCGTGCCCAAGATCCCGAGAGGAGAAGGGATTGCAGCATGGCCATCTCCCCTCGGGAGTGATTTCTCACTTTCTGTCTTTCTTTTACTCTCCAGCAAGCTCACACACCCTATAGCAAAAATCTCTCTTAAAAAAGAATGCTACTAAAAATACATAGTCTTGGGACCAGCAGGTGGTGGTTAAGGTGCTGGACACTCCCACATGACTGACCATGGTTCGAGTCCTGGACCTGGTGGCTTGCTTTCTCATTTTCCCTCTTTCTCTCTTGCTCTCTCTCTGTGTGTATCTCTCTGGTTAAGTTAAAATAAAATGAATGAATGAATAAAAGTAAATAAATAATTTTTTAAAAGTACATAGTATTAGTAGAACAAATGGATTAATAATCCATATTCTTTGTTTTTAGCATACCAACTTTATTTATAACTTATAATCTTGCAATATTTATATAATGATATTTTGAACTAACAGTTTACCGATGGAGCAGTTCTGATAGTAAGATAATTTGCTCTGTGTGAGGGAAGTACTTACGGTAACGGAATACATACTTGCTGACATTATTTATAAGAAAACTTCTGGGGCCGGCAGGTGGCGTGGTGGATGGGGGCGCTGGACTCCCACATGGCCAACCACGGTTCAAGTCTCGGACCTGGTAGCTTGCTTTCTCACTTCCTCTCTCTCTCTCTCTGATCAAACTGGAAAATAATAATGATAATAATAATAAATAAAGTTAAAATAATTCTTTAAAAAAAAAAGAAAACTTCTACTAAAGACCTCATCAAGCCTTCTGCTAATTTGTACTAACCAACTTTCCACAGAGTCAGAGAGACAAACCCATCCAAGTTTACTAGTTTAAGGGGGAGAGGGCACTTGAGAGAAGTGGGGAGTTAAAATATTTCTGTTTTTCTTTTTCTTTTTATAATAGTCGGGGAAAATAACAAAATGTACTCTTTAAAACACTTGTAAGTGTATATAGTTCATTCAGATATCAATATAATCAACACTCATTATGTTCCTTAGCGGCATTAAGTGCCTTTACATTGCTCCATATCTGGGGCTGGCAGGTGGCAGGTGGTTAAGGCACTAGACTCACATATGGCTGACTGTGGTTTGAGTCTTGGACCTGGTGGCTTGCTTTCCCACTTTCCCTCCCTCCCTCTCTCTCTTTCTCTCTCTCGTCCAATTAAAAAATAATAAAGTAAATAATTCTTAAAAAAAAAAACCCCAAAAAACGAGATGTATCTATAGATTGCTCCATATCCATTACTACCTTCACTCTCCAGAACTCTTTTCATCCTCTCAAACTGAAACTTCTTACCCATTAAACAATAATTCCCTATTTCCCCCTCCCTCAGCCCCTGGCAGCCATTCTACTTTCAGTCTCTGTGGAGTTGACTGCACTAATGGAAACATACAGTATTTGTCATTTTGTAACTGACTTGTTTCACTTAGCATGCTGTCTGATGTCTTCAAGGTTCATCATGTTATAACATGAGTAAGAAATTCCTTCCTTTTCCTTTTCCTTTTAGGTTTTTGCCATAAGATGCATGTGCTCACTGGAGAGAGAGAGACGCTCTGATGAGAGAGACAGAGAGAGAGAGAGAGAGAGAGAGAGAGAGAGAGAGAGAGAAGGAAAGTAGAAATCACCCCTCAGGGGAGATGGCCACACTGTAATCCATTCTTCTCCTGGGATTTGGGGCTTGCTCGCACACATATCCAGCAGGATTTTCAAGCTGCCAGGTCTGAGACTTGAACCATTGTTGGCTGTGTGGAAGTCCAGTGTCTTAATCACCACATCACCCGCTAGTCCCCCTTTCTTTCTCTTTATGGTTGAACAATAATCTGTTATATGTATAAGCCACATTTGTTCATTGATTACTATTGGGATACTTCCACCTGTTGACTACTGTGAATCATGGTGCTGTGAACACAGGCATACAAATAAGGCTTTGCTTTCAGTTCTTCTGGTGCATTTGTTGGATCATAATTGCATGTAATTGTCTATATCTATTATAGACAATATCATATAGACTATATTGCATATAATACATCTATATTTAGTTATATAATACGTTATATTTAGTTTTTTGGGAACCACCTACAGTATCCATAGTGGATGCATCAGATTACATTCCTACAAGCAGTTTCAAGGTTCTTCACATCCTTACCAGTACTTGTTGTTTTCTATTTTGTTTTGTTTCTTAATAGTAGCCAACCTCTGGGTATGAAGTGGTATCATTGTGGTTTTGATTTGCACTTTCTTAATGATTATTGGTGTTGAAAATCTTTTCATGTGCTTATTGGCCATTTGTATATCTTTTTGGTGAAATGTCTATTCAAGCTCATTACTTACTTTTTGTTTTGTTTTGTTTTATGTTTTTTGTTTTGTTTTGTTTTTGACATAGGGCGCGTGCGCTCGCCAGACAGAGACAGAGAGACAGAAAGCGAGAACACCCCCCTAGGGGGGGTGGCCACACCGCAATCCCTTCTCCTCCATTCTCCTCTCGGGATCTTGGGCAGGCACACACACACGCCCGGCGTGAGTTTTAAGCCACCCGGTCCAGGACGTGAACCGCGGTCGACTACGTGGGAGTCCAGCGACATAGCCGTTACGCTAACTGCTTGTCCCTCTTGCTTATTTTTGAATTGGACTATTTGTTGTTGAGTTGGAAGAAATTCTTATTTCTTTTGTCCTTAATGATTTTTTAACTTTAAAATGAGAATGATCTTAGTAGTTACCTCAAATGTATAAGGATTTTATGAGATAAGGTAAGTCAGTTTCTTCACAAATCAGTGGTATAGAATTTGTGCTAATAAAATGATATCTAATAGTTCTTGTCAATCACACCTAAACCACAGAGACGATAGGGATGGAAGTGGGATCTAAGTACTCCGTTCTTTCATATTCAGAGCTCTAGCTCTTAACTGTTCTTGTTAGTTTAGCATGATGATTAACAGATAAATAATTTCCTCAATATTGTTCAATTTGTTTGTTTTAGAGAGATTTTTACTATAGGGCATGTGCACTCACCAGAGAGACAGAGAGACAAAAAGCAAGATATCACCTCCGGGGGGGATGGCCATGCCGCAATCCCTTCTCCTCCATTCTCCTCTCACCCAGCCTGAGTTTTAAGCTGCTAGGTCTGGGACTTGAACCATGGTCAACTATGTGGGAGTCCAGCAATATAATGATTATGCCATCTGCTGGTCTCCAATCTTGTCCATTTTTTAAAAAAAAAATTTTTTTGGAGAGGTTTTTGCTATAGGGCACGTGCACTTGCCAGAAAGACAGAGAGAGACAGAGAGACAGAAAGTTAGAAAGCATCCCCAGGGGGGATGGCCACGCCGCAATCCCTTTTCCTCCATTCTCCTTTCGGGATCTTGGACACGCACGCACACATGCCCAGCGTGAGTTTAAGCCACCGGATCTGGGACTTAAACCACGGTCAACTGCATAGGAGTCCAGTGACAGCCATTATACCAAATGCTGGTCCCCAATCTTGTCCATTTTAAAGAATTTCCCACCATACTGCTGGTACAGAAGTAAGCTAGCCAGGCCTATTTGTATATTTCAGAATTATGGGAAATGATTTGAACTGTTGATATACTAATAGTGCATTTTACTCTACATTAAAAAAAAGCAGTATTATTATATCAAGCAATTTAGCTTCCTGACTTTTGAAGTTACAGCGATATTTTGGTTATTGGTGATTCTAATTTTGATATAGTGTGTCATTCTGAACAGTATTCCAAAATTTTCATATAAGAGTTCAAAAGAAGTTTCTGTCCTCATAATTTTTAGTTATGGTAAAAACTATTTTATTGAGAAGAAAAAATATATATAGAAAACAAACCAGGTGATCAAAGAGAACCTATGCAGGGCCAGCAAGTGGTGTGGTGGTTAAGGCGCTAGCCTCCTACACAGCTGACTGTGGTTCAAGTCCCAGACCTGGTAGCTTGCTTTTTTAACTTTTCCTTTCAGAGGTCTCTGGTCAAATTAAAAATAATGACAGTAAATTTAAAAATTCAGTAATCTCTTAAAAGAGAGAGAGAGAGAGCAAGAAAGCGAGAGTGTGCGCCTATGCAATGTGAATCCACACAACAAATAAACAATCCAAAGCTCTGTTGCCAATTTCAGGCAGAAGTGTTTAGTGACACATTTGTTCTGAGTTAAGAAGTGATATTGAGTCAATAGAAAAAAGCCAAGGGAAGGGCAACTCTGTGATATGGAAACACCTGGAAACCTGTTTCCAAAAGTCCAAATATAGGTGTGAAATTTCTTGAACACCTAATCTCGAATGACATCAGACATGATTCACCGTACGTAATGGTATCATCAATACATAATGAAGAAGCAATCAATTATTGACAAATGAAACATGACTTCCACCAAGTGAAATGTAGAAAATGCTTTATGTGAATTTTACATGATGCACGTATTTTATATGGGTGATGGGGCCAGAAGATCCATTTTGTACATTTCATCAAGTTAAAGTCTAGGTGGGTGTTCCCTCAGGACAGTTGAAGACCTATTTCTTTTAGATATCCAAGACACCCTTATGCTTATTTCTTTGAAACAGTTATATGCTAAAACTCGGTTTTCTGTCAGAGCACTGTCTATACACTTAAAATATGTATGAGTAGCCCTAAATCAGTGGGATAAATTCAACTTCAATATTAATTGTTTTAATGTTTACTTATCCTGGGAGAGAGAGACAGGCATCCTCAACATTGTTCTCATGCCATGACCCCACCACTGCCCTGTCTTTTCTGGTACAGATCACAGATAGACTTGCACGCACGTGGAATGCTCAAGGAGATCCCAGGATGTGAACCCAGGTCCTTTGCCATGCGAGCCCACTTGTGTTACCATTGTGGCACCACCCGACTCCTACATATGAAGTTTTTCATAAAGTGTGTAGCACCTCCTGTATAGTTCAGGTGTAGGAGAAGAAGTTCCGACCCTCGGAAAAACTAATGTGAAAAGACTTGCATGCCTGTGAATTTCTGAAATGGCCTTTGGAGTGCACATCTTTAGGAAAAAACACAAATGAAATATTTCTTTACAGATATTGACAACAGTGGGTACGTAAGTGACTATGAACTTCAGGACCTGTTTAAGGAAGCAAGTCTTCCTCTGCCTGGCTACAAGGTGCGCGAGATCGTGGAGAAAATTCTAGCAGTTGCTGACAACAACAAAGACGGCAAAATCAGTTTTGAAGAGTTTGTGTCAGTAAGTAATCTAAGCCTCTCTGGGCTATTGATTATTTCGCTTCAAGCAGAATTTCAATAATGTTATCACTAGCTTTGGCGAGTTATACCTGCAGAAGCCAGAAAAAGCACAGCTTTAAAACGATGGTGGTGGGGCCAGCAGGTGGCATAGAGATTAAGGAAGCTGGATCCCACACTGCCGCTCTGTGGTTCAAGTGCCAGACCTGGCAGCTTGAAAATCACGCCAGCTACGTGTGCATCTGTGTACAAAATCCCAAGAGGAAACTGGAGGAGAAGGAGCTGCAGCGTAATCATCCCCCAGGGGTGGGGATTTCTCACTCCCTTGCCTCCTCTCTCTCTCCCCCTGGCAAGTGTATGTACCCTATAACAAAACAAAACAAAACAACAACAAAAAATAAAAAGATGATTATAACAGTAATTATTAATGAAACAAAATTCCACAAATAATTTATAGAACAGAGGAAAAATTATTCTGAAATTGTTAGAATAGACTTCATGTTTAGATAATAGTAGTGAATACTTAAAATAACTACTGTTCAATTCAGTGCTTATTGATCATTAATATAATTGCATAAGTATTTATGAAATATAAATGGTCTGCTTTTACATTCTTTATTCACTAAGCAAGTATGTCAACTGTTCCCAGAAACTTTGCTAGATGCCATGACTAACATGAGCAAAAGAAAGACATAGCCCTTGCTTTCCTGGAATTACATGTGGTGAGGAAGACATATGACACAGATAGATAAAAGCTAACAAGTATGGTAATTGCTATGACAGAGGGGTACAGTTTGTATTAGAAGCATTCGAACTTAGAGGGATGCTGGAGAACCTAGGGACTCAAGGCAAGGTATCCCTGAAGTGAAGACAACTGAGATCTGAAGATATTAACAGGTAAAGTCGACTGGAAGGAATCGGTGATGTAGGAGGTAGGTAGAGATGACAGCACGTGTAGAGGTCCTGTGGCTTTAGAGATGACCAGTACTTTTAAGCGACTGAAAACGTTGTGACTAGGGGACCAGCAGTTGGCGTAATGGCTATTCGCTGGACTCCCATGTAGTTGACTACAGTTCGAGGCCTGGACCTGTGGCTTAAACTCACGCCAGGTGCGTGTGCGTGTGTGCCCAAGATCCTGAGACGAGAGTGGAGGAGAAGGAATTGTGGTGTGACCATCTCCCCTGGGGGGGGCGGTGATTTCTTGCTTTCTGTCTCTCTCTCTCCTTCTCTGTCTTTCTGGAGAGCGCACACGCCTTATAGCAAAAACCTCTCCAAAAAAAAGACATTCTTTTATCTTTTATTATTCTATTATTTTATCATTCTATTATATATTTCTTAGGTTTTTAGTGCAGACGACCATGGAAAGTTAAGTATAAGATCAACGTGCTCAATTTAAGCTTAGTTATAACAAAGTTTGCTCCAGTGGTTGGGTGTAATCATTTGTTGGTTTTATGCTACTGGTAAAATGACATGAGAGTTATCTGTGTACAGAAGCAGTAGATGTTAGAACACCAATTAATTTTATTTTGGTGTCATTTCAAATAAGTAAATTAGTCTAAATGAATTTTCTTCATATCACTAGTTTTTTTTTTAATGAGTATTTGATCAAGGCTCAATTTTTCTTATATTCCATTCCAGCTGATGCAAGAGTTAAAAAGCAAAGATATCAGCAAAACATTCCGAAAAATAATTAACAAGAGAGAAGGGATTACTGCTATTGGAGGAACTTCATCCATTTCCAGTGAAGGCACTCAGCATTCTTATTCAGGTAACCTACCCCTCGAAATTTGATCGTTTAGTCATCGATTAATTCAGTAAGTTCTATCGTTAATCAAATCTAAGATGTTATTCATTGTGTGTTCATGGTGTCATTGTATGTACCATGGAAAGAGAAAAATACCACAGACTAAGTTATAACATGCCATCAACTTTGAAAAGCATCTCAGTTTCAGAGATATCAAAATGAGAAAGTAAAGAAGCTCATTACTAAGTGTCAGGCTCAGTGGACATCAAAGATAAAAAAATAAAACAAAACAAAACAAAAAAACACCACAACCAAGTTGTCTCTTTTTCAGTCTTAGGTGTGCTTGATAATGATTTACAGATGGGTTTTTCATCCTGACTGGTGAGGTGGCTTTCTTTTAGGCCTGTTCTAGGAATGGTAGAAAGGTTTATTATAAGGGGGATCAGCAGATGGTGTAATGTTTACATCGCTGGTCTCCCATGTAGCCGACCGTGGTTCAAATCCTGGACCCGGTGGCTTAAAACTCACACCGGATGTGTGTGCGAGTGTGCCCCAAATCCTGAGAGGAGTAGGGATTGCTGTGTGGTCATCCCTCCTGGGGAGTGATTTCTCTCTTTCTCTGTCTCTCCAGCATATACCTATTAAAAAACAACAACACTACCAAAAACAAACTTCTCTCTTTAAAAAATAAGAAAGACTTTATTATAAGGATTTTTCCCTTCCATTTTCCAAGAGCTAAGATCCCTGACTCATCTTTTATCACTCAGCTAAGTGGCCAGGGCCCACGGCACCAGATTTGCTTCATCTGATAGATTCCAGTGAGAAATCTGGAATCATATTCACTCTTAAGATGAGATGTCTTGCCTCAAGTTAAACTTATTTTTCAGGGTCAAGATGTCTAAGAACATCTTGTTCCTTTTATCTGTATGAACATAAGTAGAACTATGGTTTTAAAATTTTGACCAAATATCCTATACTTTTTTTCTCTTGGGCTTTCTTTGAGATCTGAATCTGTTAATTACCTTCTTGATTTTCTGCCTTCCTAATTGGATTTTTATTTAACAATATACTCAAAGTTTCTTGTATTTTTTTTCTTTTCCACTAGTAAAGTAATAGTAAAAGTAGTGGTCTATAAGTAGTACCTTCACTTTCTGAAAGATATTTTTACCCTTTAACTTAATTTCTACCTGTACATTGTATTAAATGGAAATGGCTTTTTTTTTTTTTTTTGAGAGAGAGAATATTTTTGCCATAGGGCATGTGTGCTTGCTAGAGCGACAGAGAGGCAGAAAGTGAGAAATCACCCCTCCCCCCAGGGGAGATGGCCATGCCACAAACCCTTCTCCTCCATTCTCTTTTCAGAATGAACACACATCTGGTGTGAGTTTCAAGCTGCCAGGTCTGGGACTCAGACCATGGTTGGCCATGTGAGAGTTCACCTTAACCATTGTGCCACCTGTTAGTCCCCTACGAGGCTTTTTCTTTCTTTTTTTTTTCAGAAAAAAAAAAAAAGGCAAAAAAGAAGCAAACAAAAAAACCCCAACTTTTTCTTTCAGTTTTTTGCCATAGGGCATGTGTGCTTGCTGGGGGGAGAGAGAGAGAAAGAACGAGAGAAATCACTCTCAGAGGGATGGTCATGCCACAGTGCCTTCTCCTCCAGTCTCTTGGGATTTTGGGTATGCACACACATGTGCCTGGCATGATTTTCAAGCGATCGGGTCCGGGACTAGAACCATGGACTTGGCTATGCAGGATCCAGCTGCCTAAACCTCCACCCCACCAGCTGGTACCCTAAAGCCGCAACTTTTTACTGAAGTATAATATATATTCAGGAAGCATGCTGTAGTCTTAAATGTACAGCCCAGTGAATTTTTACGTGCATATGCATGTAGCTGCCAACCTGATCAAGATATGTAATAGGGTATTTTCTTCATTTCCACCACCCCAAGTAGCTCCCGATGCTTCTTATTCCTCCCCAGAGCAAACAACTTTCCTGATGTCTATCACCATGGTTATTTCCTAAATGTGTTTACTGAGGTATGTCATACATGTAGTAAAGTGCATAAAAGCATACTATTTTTTTTTTTTGGAGAGGTTTTTGCTATAGAGTGCATGCATTTGCTGGAAAGACAGGGAGAGACAGAAAGCGAGAAATGACCCCCCAGGGGGGATGGCCATGCCACAATCCCTTCTCCTCCATTCTCCTCTCAGGATCTTGGGCATGCACACACACGTGCCCCGTGTGAGTTTTCAGTCAATGGATCCAGGACTTGAACTGTGGTCCACTACATGGGAGTTGAGCAATGTAGCCATTGCGCCATCTGCTGGTCCAAAAACATACTATTCTTATATGGCTTTAACCCATGTAACTATTATCTAGAACAGGATATAGAACCTTTTTTTTTTTTTCCAGAAGAATTATTTTAACTTTATTTGCTATTATTATTATTTTCCAATTTGACTAGAGAGAGACATAGGGAGAAAAAGTAAGGAAGCTACCAGGTCTGGGACTTGAACCATGATTGGCCATGTGGGAGTCCAGTGCCTTTAACCACCGTGACACCTGCCAACCCCAGGATATGAAGCATTTAATGCCTTCAAAATATAGCAGCTTTATTGAGATGTAATTGATATACCATGAAATTTGTCCTTTTAAAGTGTACAATTCATATAGTCACAGAGTTGTGCATTTATCATCACTATTTAGAATACTCTTCATTACACCAAAGAGAAAGCCCATACTCAAAGTAGTCACTCCCCGTTTCTCCCTTCCTAAGGCCTTTGCAGCCATGAATCTACTTTCTATTTCTGTAGATTTTCTACACTAGAAAATTAATATAGCTGGAATCGTACTTTAATGACCTTTCATTTGACAGGTTTTGCTGGCATAATATTTTCAGGGTGCAATCCATGTTGTTGCATATATCATAATTCATTCTCTTTCACTGCTGAATATTCCAATTTCTGGGCAGTACTGCATTGCGTTTATCCCTTCATCAGCTGATGGGCATTTGGTTGTTTCTACTTTTTGGCTATTATGGCTTTTTTTTTCTTAAAAAAAAAAAAAAAGGCAAAAAAGAAACAAAAATTCATGGACACATTTTGTGTGAACTTTTTCTTCGAAATTTATTTCTTCCATGAGAGAGACAAAAAGGGAGACAGGCATCCACCCTGTGTCAGGTGACCTAATCACGGGCACATGCATACACACATTTGGGATGCTCAAAGAAGTGCCAGGACGTGAACCCAGGACCTCTGCCATGGGGGTCCACTTGCATTTCCACTGCGCTACCACCTGGCCCCCCAACAGGTGTTTTTAATTCTCATAGGTATAGTTGTAGAATTGCTGGATCTTTTGGTGATACTTTGTGTGACATTTTAAAGAACTGCCAAACTCTCCAAAGTGTTGCACCATTTTACATTCCAACTAGCACTGCGCGAAGGCCCACATTTCTTCAGTGCTTGCCTATACTCGTTACCGTCTCCCCCCAGTTTTTTGTTTGTTTTTAAAAACAGCCTTCCAAGGGAACCAGCAGTTAGTGTAATGGCTATGTCGCTGGACTCCCACATAGTTGACCGCGGTTCGCGTCCTGGACCCAGTGGCTTAAAACTCACGCCAGGCGCGTGTGCGTACGTGCCCAAGATCCCGAGAGGAGAATGGAGGAGAAGGGATTGCGGCGTGACCATCCCCCCTGGGGGGTGATTTCTCGCTTTCTGTCTCTATTTCTCTCTCTGTCTGTGTGACGAGCGCACGCGCCCTATAGCAAAAAAAACCCCCCCAAAAAAAAAAAAAAAAAAAAGAAAGAAAAAAAAAAAAAGAAAAACAGAAAAAACAGCCTTCCAAGAGGTTGTGATGTGGTATCTCATTCATGGATCCTATTCCTGGAACATCCCTTTCCTTGCCTATTTCCACCTATTGAAAACCACCTTGCAAATGATACCTCCTCCATAAAGTCTTTTTTTTTTTTTTTTGAGAGGTTTTTGCTATAGGGCGCACGCACTCACCAGAAAGACAGAGAGAGACAGAGAGACAGAAAGCAAGAAAACATCCCCCAGGGAGGATGGCCACGCTGCCATCCCTTCTCCATTCTCCTCTTGGGATCTTGGTTACGCATGCACACACACCTGGTGTGAGTTTAAGCCACCGGGTCCAGGACTCGAACCGTGGTCAGCTACATGGTAGTCCAGCGATATCACCATTACACTAACTGCTGGTCCCCATAAAGTCTTTTCTTGATCACCCTAACCAGAAGCGACGATTTCATTCTTACTAAATCTGTAAAACATCGCATTTATCTCTCTAGTGGTGGGTATTTGTCTTCCGTTATATTTCTTTGAATATCTACTTTATCATTATGCTAAAAATTCCTTGATGGCAGGTACAGTATACAGTATCATAGTGATCTTTAAATCCCTAGATCATTTAGTCCCTCTAAGGACATATGCATATTAAATAAACAAAATTAAGAGGGCAGACTCTGATATGTACGAAGGATAAATACTATTAAATGTTTATGTCTTTACCGACTCTGTGTGATGGATTAAATTTGGGGAAGTACATCCCAAGTACGCCATAAGGAAAAGTGCCTGATTCTGGGACTGAGGCAATAATGGGGAAGGCCAGCTTAATATGTCTAAATGATTTTTTTAAAATAATTATTTAATTTTATTTATTTATTCATTTTTTTAAATTTGACCAGAGAATGACAGAGAGAGAGAGAGAGAGAGAGAATTATAGTGAGAAAGCAAGCCACCAGGTCTGGGATGCAACCGTCATTGGCCACGTGAGAGTGTCCAGTGCCTTAACCACCACGCCACCCACTGGTCCCTGCTAAATGATTTTTTTATTTAAAGAATAATCATAAAGCTGTAGAACAGTTTTATTTTAAATGCCTTCCTGTTTTCCCCACCGTGTGGTCCAACATTTTCTGTCTAGAGATCAATGTATCCACACTAGAAGTTTCGTACTGAGATGTTGATCATTTCATGCAAACATCTAGATTTGTGTCAGTTTTCTAATAGCAAAAATTCCACAGAAATCGAGCTGCTTCATTCGTGTGACTAGCTTGATCAAATTCACTACTTCTCTTGTAAGCCAAAAGTCATAACACTTGAAAAGTCTTTTTTAGAGGTCGAAATCTATTGCCTTAGATATTTGTAACTTCTGTTTTTTCCTTACATATAAATATATTTACCATCTGATGCCTTCTGAGCCATTAGCTTTCAGAAGCAATAAATATTTGGGAAGATTTTGGAATCCAACCAAATATTTATTGTGCTTATTTTAGATATCTACTTTTTTCTCCCCTAATACATCTGATGAAAAGAAGTGGAATGAACTCCCCTTCTCCTTTTCTTAAATCTCCCTTAGTATTTTACTAGAGTTTTAAAAATAATCATTAACTTTTTTTTAAAGAGAGATTTTTGCTATAGGGTGCGTGTGCTCACTCGAGAGACAAAAAGAGACACAGAGAGATAGAAAGAGAAAAATCCTCCCGCCTCGCCCCCGGGTGGATGGCCACACCACAATCCCTCTTTGTCCATTCTCCTCTCAGCATTTTGGGCACACACACACACATGCACGTGGTGTGAGTTTAAGCTGCCAAGTCTGGGACTTGAACTACAGTCGACTCTGTGGGAGTCCAGAGACATAACCATTATGCCATCTGCTGGTCCCAATAGTATTAACTTTTATTTATTAGTGAAAGAGGGGGAGAAGGAAGAAGAAGGGAAGAGACAGAGATTGTGATTCTTTGCCCAGCTTCCCGGTTAGCTAGGATTACAATGGAACATGTGATTGTAATTACATGTAATTACATGAGCTGGTCTGTTCAGGTTGGTCTGGGATCCACTCCCAGGCTTCCTGTGTACCCCCAGCCTGTGCGTTGATGCCCTACTGCTTGTGCCAATTCCTCTTGGTTGTACTGAGTTATTTTCAAGCAAAAACTTAAAAGTATGTTTCATAGTGCAATAAATTTTATGAAATGAGTTTTGCCTACTAAGATTTTTCTGTTTCCAGAGGAAGAAAAAGTGGCTTTTGTTAACTGGATAAACAAAGCCCTGGAGAATGACCCTGACTGTAAACATCTTATACCCATGAATCCCAATGACGGCAGTCTTTTCAAATCACTTGCAGATGGCATCCTTTTTTGGTGAGTCGAACATCTGGTTATAGGAGCTATGCTCTTATCTGTCCTTGTTGATGAACTTTCCATCAAAACTGCAATTAAGTGATTATGTTGTCTTTTAGAATCAGTAGGTACTTAAGCCTTGAAGGATTTGTAAAATATTAAATATTATTTGTTTTCCAAAATTTTCCTTCAAATACAATCTCTTATTTTTCTAGGTTTTTTTTTTTTTAATCTGTTACCATTGTAATGTCAGGAAATTTTTGAGTTATTCCTCTGATGCATTTAAAAATGTTCACAGAATTTCTTTTTTCACTTCCCAATAGGGGAGTATTGGTTATTGACTGGGACAGAAACATGAGGAAATATGAAAGGAAGATATGCTTTATTCGTACCCAAATGAAAACTGTTTTAATTCAGCCTTGTGCTGTCATTGGGTGTTTATAAGATGTTTCTGCTCACTAGATTGTGAACTCCCTAAGGGAATATCTTTGTCCTTGTCACATATACTGTAATCCTAGCATACGTCTTTGTATGAAGCAGATTTTTTATTTTTTTAAATTAAAAAATTATAAAAATACTGGGGCCACCAGGTGCTGTAGTGATTAGGTGTTGGATTCCCACATGACTGACTGTGGTTCAAAACCTGGACCTAGCAACTTAAAAATCACACCAAATAAATAAATAAATAAATGCTAAACAATCAGAAAACTTATGAAAAAATAGCCATTAAAAATATTCTTACTGGGGGACCAGCAGTTGGTATAATGGCTATGTCGCTGGACTCCCATGTAGTTAACCATGGTTCAAGTCCCGGACCCGGTGGCTTAAACTTATGCCAGGCACTCGTGTGTGTGTGCCCAAGATTCTGAGAGGTGAATGGAGAAGGGATTGCGGCATGGCCATCCCCCCCCCACCCCCAGGAGGTGGTTTCTCGCTTTCTTTCTTTTTTTTTTTGGAGAGGTTTATGCTATAGGGTGCATGTGCTTGCCAGAAAGACAGAGAGAGACAGAGAGATAGAAAGCGACAAATCACCCCCCAGGGGGAATGGCCATACCACAATCCCTTCTCTTCCATTCTCCTCTCGAGATCTTGGGCACACATGCACACACGCCTGATGTGAGTTTAAGCCACTGGGTCTGGGACTCAAACCGTGCTTCACTACATGGGAGTCCAGCAACATAGCCATTATGCTAATTGCTGGTCCCTTATTTCTTGCTTCCTGTCTTTCTGTCTGTCTCTGTCTTTCTGGTGGGCGCACACACCCTAAAGCAAAAAGCTCTCCGAAAATAAAAAATATAAAAAAAATTCTTATCATGCATATTTAACTGTCAACATTTTGGCACATTTTCTTTAGTCTTTTTTCATGTCTTACTTTAAAAGGAAAAAAAAATTAAAACCAACCTTCAAGTATAAGATATCAGCTTTTAGGACATTCTGTATAGTATAAACTATAAATCTAATCCTCTGTCTCTCACTTGTAGAAAAATTCCTATTAATAAAATGAGTATCTTTTTTCATTTTTTTTTTCTATTGAGTTGTTGGAAAAGTCATGATACATTTTTTCATAGAAATAATACATCATGACTTTTCCGACAATCCAGTATTTTTGCTAGAGGGCACATGTGCTCGCCAAAGAGAGGGGGAGAAACACCCCCTGGTGGGGCCTGATTGTGCTGCAGATTTTGAGCATGGGTACACATGCACCTGGTGTGGTTTTCAAGCCACTGGGTTTGGGATTCAAACTGGTCAGTCATGCAGGGTCTGGCTCCCTTAACCATCATGGTACAGGGCTGGACCAATGTATTAATTTATTTTAAAAGAAATGAAAAGATTGAAGTTCAAATGATTGAAGTATTAGGTAATGTTTCTGGCTCCCTATTTTTCTGCAACAACAGTAATTTCAACAGGATTGATACTACTTTATAAAACTTGGCTTCTAAAGAATTTGTTTCATTTCAGGAATGTGAAAATTGCAAGATGCACATAAAGAAAATGCAAGACGATTTTAACAATTAGGAATGAATGCTAAGATGACTACTGTAATGAGTGATCTATTTAGGATAGCAAAGGTTTTCTTCGATTTCAAAAATTAAGTTCCTGACATGAATTAGTTTAATATTTTAAAGAAATGGATTGCTGGGTAAGCAGCTGGCATGGAGTTGAAGGCACTGGATCTCACAGGGCCAACTGCACCATTTGAGTCCTTGACCCAGAGGCTTGAAAATCACACTGAGCATGTGTGCATGTGTGCCCAAAATCCCAAGAGGAGAGTAGAGGAGAAGTGATTGCAGTGTGGCCATCCCACTGGGGAGTGATTTTACACACAACTCCCCCTTCCCTCCCCCCAGCAAAAGCAAAGGGAAAAAAGGGATTGCTATTACTTTTGAGAATTTAACGACTTCGACTGTTTGCAAAAATAAAACCATTTCTGGAGCCATCTTAGTAGCCTGGTAGTTAAGGGAGCAGATTTCGCATAACTGACTGTGTGGTTTTGTCCTGGACCCGGCAGCTTGAGAAGCAAGCCTGAGCACATGTGTGTGTATTCCCAAAGTCCTGACAGTTTGGAGAAAGGGAGAAGGAATTGCAGCATGACCACATGCCGTGGAGGGGTGCTTTTTCCCTCTCCCTCTCTCTCTGTCTCTTTGTCTCTCAAGAGTGTGTGTGCCCCCTGGTACCTTAAAAAATGGAAAAACACTTCTGGGAGTCTTAAACTAAATTATTCCTATTTTCTCCTCAGCAAAATGATCAACTTATCTGAACCAGATACAATCGATGAAAGAGCCATTAATAAGAAAAAACTCACTCCCTTCACCATCTCTGTAAGTCTTTGCCCTTTGCTAGTATTCATGCTACTATTATGTGAAACGTAAGGCCTTTATTAGATATTTTGGCCCAGGTTAAACCTTTGATTTAACATGATTTTATTTTCCTATAAAAGTAGGATCTTATTAATTAAAAATTTAGCTGAATTTTGTAATGAATAAAATTAAGATTCAGAATACTCTGGATTAACTTCTTTGATCATATTCAATTTATATGATTGAATTATTGAGTTATTTTATTAATAAAGATTCTTTTGATGTTGTGTTCTTCTGGATAATTGGAAAAAACACTGCATAGTTTTGTTACATTTTACAATTTCACAGAATTTTTAACTTTTTTTTGTAATAGATTGTTCTGTAGTTAGCTTCTCCATAGAGAGATTTTTAAAGTCCAGGAGTTTATAGTTACACTGATTTTTTCAAAAATCTCTCGTCCAAGGGACCAGCAGTTAGTGTAATGGCTATGTTGCTGGACTCCCATGTAGCCGACTGTGGTTTGCATCCCGGACCCGGTGGCTTAAAACTCACGCCAGGCACGTGTGCATGCGTGCCCAAGATCCCTAGAGGAGAATGGAGGAGAAGAGATTGTGGCGTGACCATCCCCCCTGGGGAGTGATTTCTCGCTTTCTGTCTCTCTGTCTGTCTCTATCTTTCTGGTGAATGCACTCACCCTGTAGCGAAAACCTCTCCAAAAAAAAAAAAGGAAAGAAAAACAAAAAATAATCCTCAATCTAAAAAAAAAAAAAAATATATATATCTCGTCCAATGGGTAGGTAATATTTACTTTGTAGCTATCAGTCACTGTTCTAAATACATTATGAATTATCCTGTTGACTTTTCCCAACATGTGTATACTATGATTTTTCAGATGAGGAAATAGGCACTAACAGGTTACACAGTACCAGAGCCAGGTTATAGTCCTAATAGTGGTCTAGTGACAGCTCATTCTCTTAATCACGTGTGTCTCGTATGAAGATAGTACCAACTGCTTAATGAGTGGTCACAAGAGTAGTTATTAAAATTGAACTATTGCAGTTTCCTTCATGTAGCAAGTACAGTCTTTGACTTGATAAAATTGTTAAGCATCTTCTATGGGAAGGTAGACCTTTAAGGCAGTAGTCCATAGTCTTGGACTGCTCAAGTCCAAGTCCAATTCAAATTCAAAGCTGGATGTTGACTACGTGGCTTTCTTGTCCCTCACTTTCCAATAGGCTATTCTGGATGAAACCCACTTCCAGTTGCAGTTGCCAGATTATTTCCTTCCACATCTTGTGCTAGGATCTTCATCTAATATCCATAATTATTCATATCGATCTTAATTTTAGAATACATGTGTCACCCAAAGTTTTTATGCACTGAATCTGAAATACAGCATTTCTTATTATCATTATAAATTTACTGTTTAGTTTTACTTTTAATTCTTACATGCAGTGTATTAAAAAGTAAAGAAAAATTTTGTACATGTTTTGCAGTAGCTACAGAATCATCCAAGGGGCTAACAGTTATACAGTTTTATTTTTATTCCTTCAATACAAATAGGGGGTAACAGTCTATACTTTTAGAATGGTTGAGAGAGAGGGTGCGAGTGGGGAATGAGAAAAGACTAGGAATTTTGAAAAGGGGCAAACTGATCCAGTAGATATTAAATCTGTCTTAAACAAGACTTTCAGGATTTTAGAGCTCTGAGAATAGATCTGCTAGAATGCTACTAGTTTCACATGAAAGTTTTTCCAAAGAAGTCACATTCTTTGTGAAAGACTGTAAAGACTGGTAAGATAGTTTTTCACCTTACGATGATAGATTTGTTTGTTATAATGATGTATGAAAAAAGAAAAGAAGGATGAGAATGATGTACAGTAGTTAGGAAAACAAGGGAAAGGCCCAGATCAAGTAATTGATGGCAAAGATCATTTATGATTCCAGATACTTTCTCATCTTTTGTCTTTTACCCAGGGTAGTACTGAGCTGCAATCTTATACTTGTATATCATTTAATGAAAAATTAATGACACGAATAAGACTGCAAAACAGATGGTAGTGATTTTAAGACCTAAAACTAATGCAAGACTGACTATAAGAAATTGAATCTATTCATTACAGCATACAGAAAGATTCTAGTGCGGATTCATATACTCACATATGTACAAAGAATGTATGTCTTACTTGATACTTACATAGTATCCAAACATATACACATTAATATGACCTTAATTTTACTTTAATACATTTTTGTTTTTAGAGTGAGATTTTTGCTATAGGGCATGTACACTTGCCAGAGAAATAGAAACAGACAGAAAGCGAGGAGTCACTCCCTGCAGGGGGATGGGCATGCTGCAGTCCCTTCTCTTCCATTCTCCTCTTGGAATTTTGGGCATGTATGCACATGTGTCTGGCATGAGTTTTAAGCTGCTGGTCCAGGACTCAAACTGTCGTCGGCTATGTAGGAGTCCAGTGATGTAAACATTATGCCACCTGCTGGTCCCAACTTTAATACATTTTAAGTAGGGAAAAGTAGTTCAAGTAGGGAAAACATAAATATCATTTGCACATTCCAAATTGAGTAAAAGTGATCATGTATAAAATAAAGATGAAGCCTCCACAATGATTCATGCCTTTATTCTTACTAATACACAACTTACAGAGAGCACAGCTCTCTAAAACTCAGTAACAAAAGTATAATAGTCTGGAACTGAACCTTTATAAGAAATGAAAATGTGCAAGGTGGTGTGCATTAGAAGAAAGAAAATTCACAGTACATATTTGAGACTGTTAGTAAAGAGTTGGGAAATTAATCAAAACATAAACAATAGAAACCATCTGTGTATATTTTCAATTCCATTTTATTATTATTAATTTTTAAACATTCTATCACTAGACATCATTTGACTTGTAAAGAGAATTTGCTCAACGTGACATACATCTCAGACCAGTCCAGTTGAGAATACTATACATGTTATCAACAGGCAATAAATCCTTTCTCTGTTCCACTGACAGGGGTTAGGTGGTATGTCATTGTGATTTTCATTTGCATCTTCCTGATGATAAGAGATGTTGAGCATTTCCTTATATGCTTTTTGGCTGTTCATATGTTTCCCTCAGAGGGATTTTTGGTCACCTCATTTTCCCATCTTTTAACTGGGTTAATCATTTTTTTTCTGGGTAAATCACTTGAGTTCCCTGTATATTCTGGTTATCATGTATAGGGTAGGGGACCATGCTCCACAGGGTCTGACCATGCTATGATCCCTTTCCTCTAGTACTCTAGCCTGTCAGATCTTGGGCACTGTGCACATGCCCAGTGTATTTCAGGCCAGCTGACCCAATGGTTTGAACCCTGACTGACTTGCAGGATCAAGCTTCTGTTGAGGAGTACATTATTGCTGTGGCACAGAGACTATCCCTCAATCCATTTTTAAAGTTTTCAGTGGGTGGATGCACTCATAAGAGACACAGAGAGAGGGAAAGTGAGAAAGCAACCTCAGTGGGGAATGGTTATGCTGCCGTCCCTTCTCCTCTATGTTTTCTTTCAGGATTTTGGGCATGCATGCACATGTGCCCAGCATTTTTCTCAATCCACCAGATCTGGGATTTGAACTGCACAGCCAGCCATGTGGTATACAGCTGCCTTAACCACTGCACCATGGGCTGGCTCCCTCAGTCTGCTTTTACTTTTTAGAGGGTTTTGCCTTAGTTTATGCATGCTCATGAGAGAGAGAGAGACAGACAGATAGACACAGACAGAGATGGTGGGAGGGAAAGTGAAAAATCACCCCTCAGGGGGGATGGCCACAGGGCAATCCCCTCTCCTCTATTCTCCTCCTGGGATCTTGGGCACACATACACACACATGCGTCCGGCATGATATTCAAACCAGCAGGTCTGGGACTTGAATCACTTGTCGGCCATGTGGAAGTCCAGTGACATGACTGCCATGCTACCTGCTGGCCCCCTCAACCTATTTTTTAAAGCCAATTGCTTGTAAGACATTTGATACACTTATCAAGCCAATACTTTTAAATGAAATGAACCTCTAAAGCTAGTTCTTTATGTCACCAACACACCCTGTTGATGAGACAAAGCTGAAAAGTTAGTGGGTCTTTTGGGTAGTGCCTGCAGTGAACAATTAGACCTTTGTCTAGGCTCAAGACTCCTATAAAAAGGACCAGGAGAAGGCATAATAGTTACATCGCTGGACTCTCAGGTAGACAACCATGGTTCGGACCCAGTGGCTTCAAACTCACACCAGGTGCACATGTGTGTTTGCCCAAAATCCCAAGAGGAGAAAGGAGAAGAAGGGATTGTAGTGTGGCCATCCCCCCAGGAATGTCTCTGTCTCTCTCTCCATCATCTTCCCATCTCTGTCTCCCTCTGTCTCTTTGGCAAGCACACGTGCCCTATAGCAAAAATTCTCTAAAGAAAAAAAAAAGATTCCTGGAAGAATAAGACCATGCTAATGAAGATAGAGGAATAATCGGGTTGTGCCAGTGAAGACAAGAGGCGTTGCACGACCAGGTTAACATGCACAACGAGGTGTTGTTTCTTCATCAGGGTCTAGGCTGAGGGCTTTGGGAGAAGGTTTTAATTCTTACTGGTTATCACAGTGAATTTAGTGAAATTGCATCCTGGCCACAGTTTCAGGCTATAACACATAGGAAATGGGTCACTGTACGAGTAACACTGTTGTTAGAAATATTTTCAGTCCTATTCTTTCCCCTGTTGATGCATTCTGGGGAAATTATGGGGTCACTGGAAAAAGTCATGATGCATTTTTGCATAGAAAAATAAAGAAAAATATGTCATGACTTTCTGATGATCCAGTACAACTAGAGCAAATATGCTCTTGGGGAAAAAATCCAGAAAAATACTAGTGATAAAGCATAAATTGGCAGAAGTTACCTCTTAAAAAGTATTGATTTTAGAGGCCTGCAGGTGGCATAGTGGTTAAGGTGCTGGACTCCCACATGGCCTACCATGGTTTGAGTCCTAGACCCAGCAACT